ACTGCGACTTTTGGAGGCCCGGAACGCAACATGGGCCGCTGATGAAATTTATCAAAGGCGGCCCGGCCCCAAAAGTTGCCCGTGCTAACCGCCGCGTATTTGTTCTTTGAGCGGGGAAAGGTACTGGTGGTAAAAAGGGTTCTTGAAGGGAATCGAGGGTCTCAGGTAACGCTGTCTGCAAGACCCCATTTCCCGGTTGGGCCCAGGGCGCGCTGTGCAGATTTCTTTTTTTTTTCCTTCTTTTTGTTTTTTCTTTTCCCCCCGTGGGGGATGGGCCACGCCCTGCTCCGCTGCAGCGCAGTACGAAGGCAACGCTGGAGAAGTCGAGCAGGCAAGCCTACCCCTGTGACCCCCCTGTAGCCCTTAAAATTTAATTTAATATCATGTGTCTCGATGGACCACGGACCAGATATGAAACTGATTAGAACAGATACCACACTTGATCTTAGACAAAAGGCTGAGAAAAGTATTGTGCAGATTTCTTTCGCAGTGGGCGGTGCTCTTTTTTTTTCGGTGGGCGACACGACAGGAAATGTGTTCATTCTTTTTCCCCCCAGCCACGTGGCACTCCCAAGCGAAGTGGACTGGGGCGTCTTTCTTTGGGTCTTTGTGCCGCATGGCGCACACTCTTTTTTTTTTTCGGTAATATGATCCCGGCAGGGCTGTGCCAGCAACCGGGCGGTTGAACCCCAGGTGGTCCAACCGAAATGCCGGTTGGGCCCAAAAGTGGTTTTTTTTTTTTTTTTTTTTTTTTTTTTGTTGAAAGAATGGTCGGACTGCGGTCGCCGAGATCTCCCCAAATCCGCAAAGAATATGTGAACAGAGAAGTTTCGTTCCACAGGGGGTTTGGGGGGCGCGGGGGGAAGGAAGAACAAGAAGTGAGAAGAAAAAAAAAACTAGGCTATGGCGGGCTATGGGAGAGGGGGTATGCTTTGAGGATGACTGGGAGGAGCAGGAGAAGACAACGAAGAAGAAGAACTGGGGAGGAGCAGGAGACGACGACGAAGGAGAGGGGGTATGCATTGAGGGGGTATGCTTTAGGTCGGCTTGAGGGGGGAGGCAGGGGAGAGGTAGTGGATGGGGGGGCGGGGGGAGAGGTAGTGGATCTGGGGTGCGGCCGGCAGCGGCTGCAATAATTCGTGGAGGTAGAGGAGAGCCAGGAAGTCCAAACTGCTGGTCGGATATTAGCACGAAATTTGTCGGGAGGAAGGGAACTTCAAAATCGCTGAGCGGTCTTCTTTGCCAAGCTGGTTCCGATGCTCTTCTTGGCTTCCACCGAATATTGTGAGCATCATCCATTTCTGAAAACAGCTTGGCCGGGTCCTGCCATAGTTGATAGTAGGATTCTCGGATGGCTTCTTTGGCCACTGGTTCCTTTTCCTCCTGGTAATCCCTGACAAAGTTTTTCCAGGCCTCCTGGGTTCTCACTCTAATGACCTCCTCTATGACTTGATGTGCTTGCTGCAGCCCAAATTGGTGATCATTCCTTTGAAAGGAACATCTGGCTCTCCAGGCGAGCATGAGAACTTGCAGCCTCATATACGCGAAGAGATTGGCTGCGAAGGGGGACCATTTCGCTATCAAATGTTGGTACAAGAGGCATTCTCATGATCATTCTTCCATAAGTAAGCCGCTGCAGCAAGTTTTAGTCTTTGCAGTTGCTTTTGGGTGAGTGACCCGAAAGCGACTTTGTACCATAAGGAGGCGAATATCGCATTGTTGAGAACTAGGGCCTTTCCCACCAGCGATGTCACTTTACCGTCCCAACGCGACATTCATTGGATGGCTAAGTCCACCAGCTTGTCACCGTGGTCCCGGGGGGGGCCCAAAGCCGTTAGGTTCAACCCAAGTACTCTAATCGCCACCTCTCAATTCCTCCATGCCACAAGCGGGGCCATTGGAGGGTCTTCCTGTAGTGGGTGCAGCCACCACCCTTCTGTCTTTGTTTCCCAATTCACCTTCATATCCGTTGCCACCTCAAACAAGTGGATGGTGTGAGCCAAGGCTCGAAAGTTGTCTGCATCAGCCCGGAAGAGGACC